CTGCATATTTTATAAGCAGTGTGCCAGGGTCTACTCCACAAAGCCCACTGCTAAATAACCAGGAATTCTGCTGGCCAGGCAGCTATGGTGTGAGTATTGATACCAGAAAAAGCAGTACATCAGTTTTGTCTGTTTCTTTTTTCCTTTTTTCCTCCAGAGAACCAGTCTGCCAGCATCCTACTTAGTCATTCCAGAGGACAGAGTCCAGCTCTTTGAGCCCAAGTAGTAACTATTCAGCAGAGGCCTAGCCAACCTCCCAGAGAGCTGGGAGGATATAGCTGCCTGCCGGCTGGACCCTGCCCACTGCAGAGCAGAGCAAACTCTCCAGAGACCATCCTCCATGCTACTCTATCCCAGCCCACTCTAGTAGACCTTGACCATGACTGGGATTGTAACTGTGACCCCAGCTGCTCCTCTCCCAGCCAAGTTGCCTTTCTGTAGTCAGCAGTCCCACTCAAGCAAAGAGTGTTTTCAAACCCACCAAGGACACCTTTAGAACAAAGCTGATCTAGCACTGAGGCTTTGAACAGGGGTCAAATATCCAAGATGTACTCAAATGTCAGATAGGCTGGGAGTCTTTTTCAAAGTAAGCCATTAATGGGAACCTGGGATGCTGGGTGCAGAAATGTCATTTGGGAATCAAAAACAATCTGTAGGCTCTGAAATAACCCTTCCCACCTCCCAAACAACCCAATAAGCATTTTTGAAATGATGAGTGATAGCTTTTTGATGTGGCCCATCAATATACACAGATAGAGAGAGGTGGGTAGCCACACACTCTTGAAAAACACCGGGAAGAACCGTGAACAACCATGAACTGGCACTGAAAGCTGAAGGGGATGGTTTTCTGCAATGGACTCAGCTTTAGCTATCAGCGAAAAGTCGAGGGTCCCAATGTCTTATCCCCCAGGACCACAGAGTGCCCACAACAATGAATGTTAGAGTCGAGAAAGACCTTAGAAATCCTTTACAATTGCTGGGCAGGGCGGTTCACATCTATAATCCTAGCTACTCAGGAAGTGGAGATCCGGACGATTGTAGTTTAATGCCAGATCCAGCAAAAAGTTAGTGAGCCCCATCTCAATAAATAAACCAGGAGTGGTGGCAAGCACCTGTCATTCCAGCTATGAAGGGCCACGGTGTTGGGGGGGGGAATGGCCCAAGCGGTAGAGAACCTGCCTAGCAAGAACAGAATGAAACCCTTAGTTCAAAACCCCAGTACTGTCAAAAGAAAGAAAAAAGAAGGAAGGGAAAGAGGCAGGGAGAGAGAGAAGGAGGGAGGAAAGGGTGGGAGAGAGGGAGGGAAGGAAAGGAGGGAGGGAAGAAATCCTTTAGGATTGAAACTGTCAGAAAAGGACAGCAAAGTGTACCATCCCTTCATCTCCCATTTGCTTCCCACATTTCATTACAATGAAGACAAAAGAATACAAGTGTGGGTGGGTAAAGCCATAGGGACAAAGGAACCAACCTCTTTGTCCTCCTGGGTTTATCTCCCTGCACGTGGGAGTTTATCCCCACTCTCCAGAATTTAAGGATGACAACACCTGCTCTGCAGTATCCTCATGATACCTAAAGACAATATGTGTGCCGACAGCCCAAAGTAGGGGCTTAACACAACAAATGGTGTTGATCATTGTCCACCAAATGGTCTGCATTTCACTTAGCAGGTTATTGAGTCCCTTGATTCCCAAGGGAAACGGTGTCTCTTTATTCATATTTGTAGGAACATTTACTTAAAACTTTGGACTGTTTTGCTGCCTTTTAGGGTATCTCTCCACTGTGGCTTTTTACACATGTTAATTACAGATCCCTAAAAAATGCTTTGTCAGTAAATTAAGAGGTCAGATGCTATATATATATAGTATGGTTTTCAGATGCGTTCAATGAAGTAAAAAAAATAAAGTATTTGCCTTCTTAAAGTGACAAAAGAGTCAAAACTCAGGAAGAGCAGGAAAAAGAAAGCGAGAGAGAGTAAATGAAAGTGACAGGTAAAAGAGACAAGAAGTGAAAATAGATCACCTCAGAAGTGAGACAGCAGGGAGGAAGGGCGGCTGGTTGCTGTTCAAAGACTGACAGGCGTTTCCTTTGATGGCAGACCTAAAAACACACTTATTTACTTAGGTCCTCTAAATGCCTACCTTTTCTCCCACATCCTCTTCCCTCACCCAGTATCTGCTTCCTGACCCCTTCCCTTGCCTTCATCCACCCCAAGATGCTTAAAACCAAACAGGTCCAAGATCCTGGTTCCCGGGTCCCAGCCACAAAGCACGGTGAGCCAGGGCTTTGCCTCAGAACCGTCTGCACTCTCATCCTATGCCTTCTCCATTTGTCTTACCTTTTTTTTTGTTTTGTTTTGTTTTATGCTTGTTTGTTTGGATTTTTTTTTTTTGAGACAGGGTCTCCCTATATAGCCCAGACTAGCCTCGAACTCTCCATCCTCCTTCCTCAGCCTCCCAAGTGCTGGGATTACAGACGTGCATCACCACACCTGGCTTGTCTTTTTCATTTCTATTGAGAGACTTTAGGAAAGTTTTTAAGTCATCTAAGCCTCAGTTTTCTTATGATAGGAGGTAATGTATCACAGGACATTTTGTGGAGAAAATAAGATCACGATGTACACTGTTTTGCCCTTAAAAGTGTTCAGTGTTTACAACTTACTATTATTTCCTTTGATACCTTTTTTGACACTAAATAGGCTTCTTTGGTTTGTAAAAAAAAAAAAAAAAAAGTCCTCTTTTAATTCTTATTTTAGAACAAGCTTCCCAGTCTAAGTATCTCTCTACCCTTTAGAAAATGCCCTGGATTGTTGCCTTATCATTGGATTCTCTCCCCCTCTCCCCCACCCACACACATAAGTAAAGCACGATAGAACTGGGGGCATTTCCAGTTGGACATGGACAATGTCCCCTCCCCAAAGACCTCATTAAATTGAGAGTAAGAGGGAGAAGAGGAATAGATCCACATAAGCAAACAAAAAACAAGCAATTCGGGAGGCAATAGCTTTGGGGTGAAATCAAGAACATTTGGGGGTGGACAGCAAACATGTGACTCTCCCTGAATTTCTTGTACTTACCTAAAAGTCATACTGTAAGACCTGTAATCATTACCTCTGTGAGGTGTTATATTGAATTATGAAAACACGATCCAGGCATGATGACTCAAGCCTGTTATCCCAGCTACTCGCAAGGCAGAGATCAGGAGGATCAAGCCTGGAGGCCAGCCCAAACAAAAAGTTAGTGAGACCCCATCTAAGCCAGTAAGTAGCTGGGCACTGTGGTGTATGCCTGTCATCTTGGCTATGCCAGGAAGGACAAATAGTAGAATCACAGCCCAAGCCACCCCCAGTACCACCAAAAAACAAAACAAAAGAGAAAATTTTGGTTAGAGCCCATCACAAATATGAATTAGAGATCAATCAGAATGATAAAGTGGATTGAACCTTTTATGGTGGGCTTTACTTCTAGTGGGATAGCAGTATAATTTTGGATTCTACACTCACCTTTTTCATTAGGATTAGAAACAAAGATGCCAGCAGGACATGTTTTGGAGAAATATATTAAATTTAAAATATAATAATGTCAAAAATACCCATGATCCATCTATTTAAAATGTGCTTTTCTTTTCCAGACTCTGAAGAAAACATACTTGGCAGTGATGTCCTACTGTTGGAGCCTCTACCCAAACAGAATTAAATGTGTGCTCAAATAGGCTTCAGTGGTCAGCTGTGTATTGCACATCTACTTGAACCAACCAAATACAATCACAATGTCAGGGTCAAAGTCTTATGCCAGCCTGGAGTGGAATGCCAAGGAAAAACACATGCTTATTAAACAGCTTTGATCATTTTGAAGGTGGTTGTTTTGTAAAATCTGCTAAAATATCTCTGCCTTACTATGACTGCGATTTCCCCTGCACCCTCAGGACTTCTTGTTTTTATTTGCATTAATGTTAAAGAAAAGAAAAGAAAAGAAAAACAAACAAAAAAACCCAACACTTTAGTTCCAGGCTTTCGAAGTGCTTTTTGCATGTTTCATTTCTCTTATTACCACATAAGCACAAAAAAAGGTTGCTTCCCCAAAGGATGTCCCCTTGTCCTGGTATCCATTTTATTCTTTGGCTGCCCCAAAGATAACAGAAGGTTGTGTGGAACCGAGATTTTTTTTCTTCCCCCCTCCCGCCTTCATACTGGGGTTCGAACTCAGAGCCATCCCCGCCCCAGCCCTTTTTGCTTTTAGTAATCTTTTTTAATAGCGTCTCACATTCACACCCTGCTGGCCTAGACTATTGTTTTGTGCTTCTCACATAGCTGGCTTGCCTTGACAGGCAGGTGAGCAACACCAAGCCCAGCTTTTATTGATTGAGATGGACTCTCGTGAATTTTCTTGCCCAGGTTGACCTCAAAACAGGATGAGGTCACCTTTTTAACACCACGGTATGCCAAGTGTCCAATGGTGTCCTCATTCTGGAGTGGTCTCCGGTGTATCCATAGGACGCTCATGACCCTGCACACACCGACCGACAGCAAGCAGCAGGCGCCTGGGAGGGCGGTTCGGCTCCCGCAGCCGGCTCGGACAGGGGCTGCCCAATCCACGGGCCCAGTGGTCACGTCCCAGGCCCTGCCCCCCAACTGAACAACGACCCTCACTCGCCCCGGATCCTCTCCAAAGTGCACGGCGCTCGGGTGGGATAGCGCTTCGGAAACCCCACACCTGGTGTGTCACACGGATGACCAGCCCTGCAGTGTGCCGACCTGGGACAGCTGGCGGACACGAGAGACTGGCCTGAGATGCTCGGGGTCACCAGGACCCTGCTCCAGCCGCAGCCCCCACCTTCATCCCAACGCCCTTGAGCCCCGACTTGGAGCAAGGCGCGCCACCCATCTCCAGTACGAAGGCCATCAGATGAGCTCCTTCTGACCGCAAGAGCTGCTCTGGAGGTCCTCGCTCTTCCGCCAGCCTCCCATCCCCTGTCCCGCGCCCCCCGCGGCTCCCCGCACGTACCCACGTCCCCTAGGAAGCAACCGTCCGCCGCCCGGGGCTCCATGCGGCAGGCTGCCTGGGCACCGTCGCCTGCCGGTCCCCCGACTCCAGGCGCGGGGACCTGAGCGACGTCCTAGCCAGGCAATGCCGGGCCGCTGGGCGGGGCCAGCCTCGGAGCCAGCCTGGGCGCAGGGCCGCCGTCTGCCGGAGGTGGCCGCGCGCCGGGAGTTGTAGTCCCTGCCGCCATAGCTTGGTGTCCCGGACGCCAGCTACCGCCTGGCGCCACTCCTCTGTCACTCCTCCGTCCCCGCTCCGCTGACACTGCGCTTGTGACCCGTGGAGGAGAGTGCATGCTTGTAGATGCAAAATGTATGTTCGTGTGCAAAAAAACATGTGTCCACGTGTAAACGCGTTGCCCCTGTGTAACTCTGCAAATCGGGTGTCCAGGAGCAAAGCAGGGGTCCATACGTTTAGTCGCAAAACATGCCTCGGCGTGCAAAACATGTTTGGTGCGCAAAACGTGTGTCCGTGTGCAAAATGTGCCCAGCTGCCAAAACTCAGTCCCACGCTTTGCATTGGTCGCAGTCCCAAAATACCAAACCCCTCTGAGCCTTATCTTCCAAGAAGCTCTTTCCCTGTTGAAAAACGGGGGATGGGAAGTAAAGGGGTAAGGGAGAGTAATGGAAGAGGTTGAATGTGTTGGGGCCAATTTGGCTATTTTCCTGGATTTACTGGGTCTGGTATTCACCTTGGTTTCCCCGCTCTGAGTCTACAAGAAGCTTTCCGCTAGCTCTTAAAAGTTGCAAGCCTCCAGCTGACTCTGCAGGTTCCTGTAACTGTGACCACATTCTGTAGGGGGTGCAGGACGAACTCTTAAGTATTTAACCCAGCTCCTGGCACAGATGGGGCGGGGCTTTGAGAAATCATCTCCCCTGAGTCCGCTAGTCATAAACTCCTGCTTCCTGTGAAAATGGTCTCGGTGACTTTGTTTCCCTCGCCGTTTCCCGCAACAAATGGACCCACAGTGGGTATACATTCAGAATCCCCTTTGAACATGACTTAAATTTTAGTAACGAAAGACAGGACTGTAAAATAGGTTCAGTGGGGGGGGGTACTTATGGGAAGCGTGAGGGTGAATAAAAGAGATTAAGGTGAGGGTATGTGGTTGACGGACTTAATATACTTTATGTGAAAGAGTACAAAGAAACCTCTTGCAATTGCTTTAAGGGGCTGGGAGGGAGTTGAGGCGGAGAGACGATGGCAGTGATCTCACCAATGCACAATGTAAGCATAATCGGAATTCTAACTATGAATCCCCCCCATAATGAATATATCCTAATAAAAAAGTTATAATAAAAAAAAAGAAAGAAAGAAGCGCTTTTCACTGGAGTTGGTGGTACAATGCCCGTTTCTTTCTGTTTTTCAAGATAAATTTCAAATTGTTCAAATTCACTTAAAAACAAAACAAACTTTACAGTTTTTAATCTAATGCCCCCCTAAATCTTAGCAGATGGAATCCCCGCATGGAGTGGCAGAAATGAAGAAGCTGTTTCCGAATGATTAAGAGTCAATGATTCCATAAGAGAACTGGGTTGTTTTAGGTTTTGTTTTGCAACACAGTTTTCGATGTCCAAATTTAACTTTGCCAAAGTTGGTTGCTGTCTCATCACGAGATTCACTCACCTTGACCTATCCTGAGCCTAAATGCAGATGCAAAATTGGGTTTGAAAGTAAAAAAAAATTGGGAATCATTCTGCCTGGACATAGTTAAGGACTAGTCAGTTGGATCTCCAACCCCATGCAAGGCCTCTCTGACCACCCCAATCTTTATCCGTCTTTAGAAGGCATTGAACATACCTGTTAGAATCCAAAACTCCTGGGAAGGCAGAGCCCCAGGTCTGGGAATGAAATTTCAAGCCTATTAGCAATGTGTGCTTACTATACTGTTTGCCACTTGTCTACCAAAATTTAGCTCTTGCAGTTTTCTGCATTTTTACTAGATGTAATAGATTTTTAGGCTGATATATTTGCCATGGAATGTTATGTTTTCTCCTGTGACAATGTCATATGTTTGGATAGTCATATCTTCTTCAATATTTTTTCCCTGACAAATACCATCCAGATCATGGTGCACACCATATCATATGTATATGAATATGCACATATGTGTGTTATGCAAGTATTTGCTAAAGATATTTTTAAAAGCAAGTATTTTAAAAATAAAAAACAAATGCTTGCTTATGTTGTAAGTGTTTTCTGTTGCTTGATTTCAATAATTATTATAGAAAACCTTTAAGTTTTTATATATTCTGAAATATATTCCCTGAAAGCATTTCCTTGTCCTTCAATATTCAGAATGTATTTCCCCTCCAAGAACCAGTGTATATATATGTATATATATACATATATATATACATATGTATATATATATATATAACATATATATATACATATATATGTATATATATATATGCTGTTGTGTTCTGTTATTAAGTCTTTGACCCAACTGAAATTTATAAATAGATTCACTTACATGAGGAACCTGGAGTTCAAAAGAAAAGGTAAAACTATTGAGCCTCCTCAGCACCTACTCCCACCACCTTTCACTGCTTCTGGATCTATTCAGACAAGTCCCTACTAGGTAAGGTACAAAGACAAATGAGGCACATGAAGGTGTAACATATGCCAAGAAAATTACAATAATTGCTAATTACATAGGCAGAAATCTGAAGAACATACGTGGGAATGGATCAAAGGGGTATTGCATCAGGTGGAAGGAAAATATCATTGGTCAAGGCCTAAATTTTTCATTGGGTTTACTACACAGTAATTATAAATTCACAGTGCTACTTATAATGGCTAGGCCTGGTCTACAGTGAAAAACGCAAGAACTTCTTTGGTATACTTTGGAGGAAGGTATCTTTGAGGCATAAGGAGACTGGGATACTAGAATAGATTCATCATGGAAAACTTGCCCACCATTCCCTAACTTTAACACGCAGAAGGGTTCAAATAACTCTCCTTCCCCAAGAATGTGAGGCACACATTCACAGGGTAGACACATAATTCTTACAGAGCCCTGTGGTTGCTGTCATCTCTAGGTCAGTAAGGACGGAGAGAAATGCTTCCCTGAATTCATTGAATTAAGCTGTGCTCTGTGATTTCATTGAACTACTATGGTGACAGGGACCACTGGAACGTTGTGGGGCTAGTTACATCATAGATTGCAGAGCTAACATAGTAATATACTCTATTCTCAGAGATCTTTGGTGCTGAATGGTTGATGACAGTGTGTTACTTTTATCATCACTGTGACCAAAAAAATTTCAGGAAATATGATTCGTTTCACAGTTTCAGAGGGTTGAGGCTCTGGTAGGCTGGTTGGCTCTATTACCTTGGGTCTGAGGCAAGCTAAAACATCATGGGATAGGAGTGTACCGAGGCTGTTCACCTCATGGTGGACAGGAAGCAGAAAGCAAGAACCAAGTATAAACTTCAAAGATATACCCCCAGTGACCTACTTCCTCCAACTAGGCCTTACTAAAGTTTCCAGAACCTCCCAAAATAGCAGCATGAGCTGGGGACCAAGCATTTAACACAGAGCCTTTATTATTTTAATTTGGTTTAGGTTTAGTTTTTTGAGACAGAGTTTCACTATATACTCCAAGCTGCCCTCAAACTTATAACCCTTCTGTCTCTGCTTCCCAAGTGCTGGGATTACAGCATGCACCACCACCTCCTTTATTTTTGAAGTGTAATTTTCCTGGATATAGAATTCTTGGTTCATAATCTTTTTCTTTATGAACTTTGAATTTGTCATCCCACTGCATTCTGTGTTCCATCATTTCTGATGACAAGTTAGCTGTTAATTTCTAACTGCTTTCAAGATTTTTGACACTCAATAATTTGGTGTCTTTTAGTTGACTGTACTTGGAGTTCATTGAGAGATTGGGATCTTCTCAGTTCTTTCTTGATTTGCTCACAATCCCGCACACACACACACACACACACACACACACACACACACACACAGCTTTCTAGGTCTTTAGGAATATGTTAGAATTTTGTATATCTCCCTATGAAGATTTCACTCATTAGCTTTCCATTTAAGTTCCTATACAGTCCCTCATTTGTCACAGTTGCTATCATCCTCCCAGGTAGCTGTACTGCTTTTTTTTAAATTTTGTTTTTCTTTTGGTGGCACTGGAATTTGAATGCAGGGCCTCACACTTACCAGGCAGGCGCTCTTATCACTTGAGCCAGCCTGGTAGCTGCATTGTTAAAAACAGTTGCCATTGATTATTTTCAATGAATGTCCTTAGGATTTGGCATTTCTCACTGAGCAAACTCTCAATCAGGTCAAATAAACATAAGCCCTGAGAATGGGGCTTTTTCAGATGTTTCTAGACAGGCCAACTAGTAAAAAAAAAAAAAAAAAATCTAGAGATAGAGCTTTTGGGGAGTGAGGGGACTCAAAACCTCTTGTTTCCTCTAATGGCTACTAGACTGCTGGTTCTGTTAGGTACCATGATTCTGAGAAAGGTGGTTTTTAAGAGTTCTACTGAGGTTAGGACAAATGGATGGAAACAGGGCAAATTTAAATGCCACAAAACTCATTCCTGTTACTCTGATTTAACTATTTCTCTTAAATGCTTTTCAGATTATTGTCAGCCTTCAGTTACCTTTTAGAGTTCCAAAAGTAATTTATTTTGATGACTTTTGCCAGTGTTCTCATTACTATTAAAGAAAAGCAGATCTTTTGAGATTTTTATTCCGCCATTCTGAGAGTGTTTCTCTAGCAATTGTCTCTCTCGCTCTTTTTTTTTTTTTTTCTTTTTTGCAGTGCTGGGATTAGACCCAGGGCCTTGCATACACTTTACCACTGAACTATATACTCAGTCACAATTGTCTTTTAAATAAATTGCTTTAAAGAAGAAAAGAGGTTGGATATGATGACCCACACCTATAATCCTAGCAGTCAGTTTCCTGAGGTGGGAGGATCACAAATTAGAGGCCAGCCTGGGCTACATAATGAGTTTAAGACCAGCCTAGACTTCAAAATGAGACCCTGTCTCAAAAAAGAAAAGAAAAAGTGGGGGGGGGGGTGGATAGGAGGTGTAGGAATAGG